GCCATTGTACTATGTGTCGGCTTGGCTTATGACGGACATTTGCATATGCATATGCGGATATGTGCTGTAAAATATGTATGTAAGTAGCATGTACATATGTGTGTGGTTGGAAAAAGCACTTTTCAAGCAGGGGAAGAAGAAGAAGAAGAACGTTGCATAAATTTCGCTATTTACATATTAATAGATTTGGTAAGAAAGACAAGGGAACAAACACAACAGGCACACTGTCAGAATAGCAAACAACAATTCGCGACTAGCATATTACAATAAAACAACAACACCAATAACAACAACAAGTAACATCATTATTATCAACATTAGCATGAACTCGGCAATGGCGGTGGATTGCGTGGAATGCGTGCACAGCTGGGGTGCGGCTGGTCTATGTCTTTCGATCTAACTATTTTATAGGAAGAAGAACAACAGACAAACTTTTTGTTGATTTTGTAACATAATAACAGCAGCAATAACAAGCACAACAACATCAAGTGCAACAGCACTAACGACAACACTAACAACAGCACTAACAGCAACACTAACAACAACACTAACAATAATAACAACAACAAAAACAGAACAAGCATAACAAGAACTTTCAACGAAATGGAAAGAAGGGCGCGTTTCATACAAAAAGCGAAAAAAAAACTAAAAACAAAACAAAAAAAATTAAATAAAAAAAAAATAAAAAAAAGCTGCTTCACACACTGCTATTTGCTTTTGGCGATTAGAATTCAAATAATTATACATGAGTGCAGAGTTTGTATATATGAATAAAAATACTATAGTATAAACATCTTTATAAATAAATAAATATTTATTATATTCTATATAATTTTGCTTACATTTTCACAATAAACAAAAAAAAAAAGAATAGTATTTTTTTGTTAAATTTATTTTCCAAGAAATAATTGAATCCACTGCTTTCAACAGAATTATTTATATTTTTATTTATTTTGTATATTTGTTTTTATTTTCTTTTTGTAATTTTGAAATATACAATTTGTATAAACAAAATAAAAAATATTAAACTTTCTATCGGAAGCTTCGCCAACACTACAATAACAAACACCGCACACCAAAAAGTTCCCGAATTATGCTACCGCCGCGCCAGTGGCCGAAGAAAGACTGACAAAGCAGTTGCAGTGAAATGTAGCTAGCAGCTACCCATGCCGCCCGTACACCATGAGTGAGTTGTTCAATCCTGAATTAAAAAGCTGAAGCTGATTGAATTGTACTGTGCGGCAGAGAAAGGGGAGCACAAAACTGGGTATATCATTCAGCGTTCAGCGAATCATACAGCGAACATATGACGCATACAGTTAGGCCGGCCACACGGGCAACAGCCGCAACAGCGAACTTTTGCCAAACGCGTCTCACAGATGTGAAGTCATAGTTTTTGTTTTTTTTTTTGAATTACTTCTTTT